AAAACGGAGCTTCACATGACGCTTGCGTCCGCCATATTGGATAGAACAGTTTGTTTAGAACTGAAAAAAATGCGGTCATGACAACGTGACGTCATACGAAACATCGTGCGGACATGGCGAAACGGAAGACACAGCTTCGAAGCCAGGGTTGATTTCCTCAGTGAAAGACTTAATTGATGTTTTTCAGCGGACGAATTTTTCAAGGTAAAGTCATTCATTCACAATTTACTTTCCAACTTGATTCCTGTAGCGGGGAAAATGTGTCTTTAGAGCCAAATTGTTCAACTTTGTGGCACACTGCTCCAGTGAACACCACTTGATGGGCCGGAGACATGTTTGTATTGTAGAATCATTTGCGAATTTGTGCCCATAGGTATACTTTATGTCTCTATATTGAACTGCTTTTGACATTGGTTTAGTTATTCCGAAAGATATTTCGCCGAATTTGGTTGGATTCGCGTGGCTACCATCTATGTACTAAGTGTTTTAGCAGCCAGAACGTTGTAACGTCACGGCTAGGGCTTTGTTCAGCACTTTTCGATGAAAACATGACATAGTTTCGAATTATTTGCGAGTAGTTTTCTCAGAGTTATCCTTGAAATCTCTAAGTTCGCCAGCTTTTGATGTTGATTCACTTATTCCTAACCATTTTTCCGAATTTAACTGGTTTCACTTTGTTAATAATAGCTTTAAAATACGTCTTTCGAGCCAAATTGTTGAAACTCTTGGCTTGGTGCTTCGGTCGGCACCATAGTTAAAATAGAGGGGACTGGTTATGAAGGCCGGCATACATCAGAGAGCTAGATTACTATTCGAGTTTATCGAAGCCAAGCAAGCGTGACCGTCCACACACATTCAAGATGGCGGGGAGCTAGAAGACTTGTGTACGTGGTTCGATCTGTTTCTAAAGCGTCATGATGTAGTTCTGTCCACCGGGACAGTTTATTTAAGTATCTAAACTCGAAATTACAATGCCTGGCGACAACTGTGCCGTGTTTGGTTGCGGTACATGTCGTAGAACGAAAGGAATCGGCATATTTAAGTTGCCCCCGCTGCGAAATGCCGAGTATGAAAAATCGCGCAAAGAGTGGCTAAATCAGCTGACCAATCCAAGAATTATCGACAAAGATTTCCAAAGTCAATTCGATAAAGGAAATTTATTTACATGTGAGAAGCATTTCGATCCAAAGGATATCGAAACGTGTAAGTATTCGAGTAAAATATCAATCAAATGGTACCAGGAGAAGATCAAGAGATAAGTCTTAGTCCATTGACTATATTTGATGGATGATTTTTGTGCTCACTCTATTGTATTAGCTAAACTATACTTGTTACCATTTCAATTGGCTGAAAGTAATTATAAACCGTGACAAGTATTTATTCGATTCCAGAGAGATGAGGAACATGGGTTTCATGCATAGTCAGTAACAGCTTTTAAATGTAATGATAAAATGTTAATTTTGTATAACATCAATAACAATGTTTCTTGGGAAAAGTATAAGCCAGGTAACTTTTAATGCTCATTAAAATCCTCTGAGTCAATCAATACAATTTTAGCAATATGGTGAAAAGTCATTAAAATTTATATTGGACTAGGACTGCCTGTCATTTTCAGATTCTTTACAAGCTCTGCTTATTTCCTTACGTAGCGCTTTGGATTTCAACTGCTTTGCTTGTACCTTATGCTTCTGTATGATATCCTTTGCGAAAGAAAAGGAGCGGACTCTTACATACAGTTGAATGATGTTATGTAGTACATCTTTGGCAACAGTGCTTTCTGCTGTAAGTTCAGCATCAGACAAAATTAAATGATATGCAGAGACTACATCTATGTCATGGGTAGATCTTGATATAATGTCAGTACAATCAAGCTTTCTTATGTCAGCCTTTGAAGTTATATCCCTAAAATAGTGCTCAGCTCTTTCAAAAATTGTTTGGGTATTCTTTGTTATTGTCCATAAGCCTCCACGATTTAAAGATGAAGTTAGCCTCTGGCTATCTGAAACAGCCTGGTCATCTGACTTTCCAGCCTTAAGAATTGAGATTGCTTGCTCAATTTCCGGTGATTTTTTACTATTTGCCAGTTTGTTATGAAGTTTATGTAGAACATAATTTTTATCCTCCTATGTACTAGNTTAAAAAGATTACAGAATACCCGACATAAAAGCACGATAACAGTTGAACTCGATCTTGTCAAACATACCGAAATGGTAATAGCAAAACAGTTGTTTTCTCTCGCTTTTTAAACTGATGAGGAAGGTTATAATAGTTACATCGTCAGCAGCTTCTGTAAAGTATTCATCTAGCTCTTCTTCTTCTTCTAAAATGTCTAAAATGGCATCAAAATCGTCTCCGAAAATAAAAAGTTCACTACTATCCGCCATGTTGCCTTGTGGTGCAAATCAAGGATGTGCACGTTCGCGTGACATCACGGTACGTTTCAACCTCGGGAGCTGAACAATAGGCCGGCCCTTTCATGTATGCCGGCCTTCATAACCGGTCCCCTCTATTAACTATGTCGGCACTTATTCCAGTTTGATTGGGAGGAGACATGTTTGGATTTTTGAATCATTAGTGAATTTGTGGCCATAGTTATACTTTTCATCGCGACAATCAGCTACTTTTGACGTTGCTTTACTTATTCTTACCATTTCGCAGAATTTGGTAAGAGTGGCATGACTACCAACTAAAATATGTGTTCAGGAGAATGGCAGTTCAAATTCACGTAATTTTTTTCACCATAAGTCGAACATTTATGTATGATGGAACAAGTCTCCTTCATGTTGTGTTCCTCAAAGGACGATTTTCATGCAGAAAACGAAGGGTCTATGATGATAATTCGCTTCATAGTTGACCTTGGTATGGCTGCTTAGAACACCTATGTCAGCAGTTCTTTTTGAAACGTGTGATGTGGGTTATTTGGAAGAAAGTGCACACAGCAAGGTTCAGGTGTGTGCCTTGTTCATGGGGAAGAGTTGGTGGTATAGGAGAAAACTGGTCTTCTATGAAGGGATTGTGTAAAAAATACTTTTGGTTTCGTAACACACTGTTACATGTCAATATCAGTTGCAACACATCTTGTCAAACATGGCTTGACATGTTTCAAAATAGTGTCTCCTCATTAATTTTTCTCATAGACTGGGAACTCAAGAGGTTTTACCTTTCATTCTATTTCCCAGGTTTTTTTTTTTTTTTTTTTTCTCAATAGGAATTAGTTTGTAATGTATTTTGTAGTCTCAAAGTTACTTAGAGCAGTTTTGCAATGGCAGAGTAATGTAAGGTGGTAACTATGTCTTAAGTCTAAAAGGAATTATAAAAAACTAGATCATTGGATAACGCAATTCAAGGCTTTTTATTGGCTTAGCCATTATGGTATATCGGCCAATATACCATAATCTACAAATATGGTAAGCATACGTGGCAGCTTAAAATTAAAAGGGAGCTAAAAATTTAATAAAATTTAATAATTTAATTTAACATTTTTAATAAAACAATTATTCCACTCACACTTGTTGGATATGAGATGATTATAGCCAACTCAGCACTACGCGCCTTGTTGGCTCTCTATCATCTCATAGCCAACTTCTGTGGAATCTGTTCCAAAATGATATTTCCTTTCATATAAATAATGCTAATTTGAGCATGTATGCTGACGACCTTCAGATGTATGTCACGGGTAAGAAGCATGACGTTGTCGTGCAAAGTATCAAGATACATGGAGAGAAAGCTCTATCCTGGTACAAGAACAACTATCTCTCAACCAACCCAGAAAAGTTCCAGCTATTAACGATCAACCCGAGAAATGTTGACAAAGACAACGATAATCAAAATTTTTCTGTTGATGGTCATACTATTAACAGAATGGGGGAAATACGGCTTTTAGGAGTTCAAATAGATGAAAAATTGAGTTTTACTAGTCATATCAGTGATCTATGCTCTAAGGCCAGTCAAAAAGTAGGGGTCCTAGTGCGGCTACGCAATTTGATACCCTGTAATGCTAAACTATCACTTTACAGGTCTTCAATTCTGCCCCATCTAACCTACTGTCATTTAGTATGGCACTTTTGTAATGCATCGGATCGGAGAAAGCTTGAGCGGATTCAGGAGCGAGCACTTAGGGCGGTGTACAAAACTAGATCAGCGTCCTATCAAGAACTGCTAAGTCGCGCCAAACTACCGACGTTGAACAATCGGCGCCTACAAGACATTGCCACTTTGATGTTTAAAGTTAAGCACAGTCTCGTACCCGAGAATATTTCTGACTTATTTAATATAAAGAACACTCAGTATAATTTACGGAACAGTGACTTCGAACTGCCAAGATTCGAAACTGTAAGATTTGGTAGGAATTCTATTAAATATATGGGACCTCTCATCTGGTCGAAGTTACCAAGACACCTAAGAACGATAGAAACTCTAAATTCGTTCAAGAAGAACATAAGAAAAGTCAACCTTTCAACTCTCTTTGAAATTTAAAACTTAACGAAATAACTTTAATAATCTATTTAATTATCTACTGTAAATAACTATCATCTACATATTATGTAAATGTAAGTGACTTTTAAATTTTTTAGTGTCCCCCATTAGCTTATAGCTAAAAACATGGACACTTAAATAAAGTTTTTCATTTCATTTCTTCATTTTGATATCCAATGCGCGCTCATGGAATAATTGTTAAATACAATTTTGAAATTCATTTTGAACTTTGGTTTATTAGTTCTCTATAATGAGTCAAATTTGTGGCTTACAGAAGAAGGGCAGAAGCCTGAGTTGTTTCGTTTACTTTATCCCTCTATCTGTTCTTGATGATTGATTAGCCCCAACTGCCATACTTAATTTGACTATTTTCTAACTCAAGGATGGTCTACTGTGTAGTTATTGATTGTAGCAATGACTTGAGGTATACAACTGGCATATCCTGCCATTGCTTTCTGAAGGATGAAGCTCTACATTTACATTGGTTGCCAAATATCTCTTGGCTGTGCTCAAAACATTTCACAGCACTCTTTTAAAGAATAGCAGAAATTTGTGCTTTGAAACCTAGATCCTTGTCAAAACCTGTTGTGTTAAACAGGATTTTCTTGCATCAGAGACCAGCAAAAAGACTCAGACTATCATTAGAGAAATGTTCAGAGGAGAAAGTCAGCAAAGTGGTCACTGAATTACGAATTACTGAATTATGAATTACTGTTTTGCAACTAGCTTGGGTTGTTGGGTTGTTGCTGCTCATCATTTATGCTTGATTGATAAACCAATTACAGGGTGCGACGAAAGTGCTGTCGCGGGGCTAGTGGAATGACTTGTCGGGCAAGCGTTTTCTTATCGCAGCTTGCCCGACAAGCAAGCACTACCATTAGTTCCTCTGTTCTGGTGATGATAAATTGAGCTTTTATACCAGAAATTGTATAGGAGAAAGCTCCTGAGGGAAAAGGACAACGTTAGGAGGCCAAATAATTGTAGCATTACAACGTCTTGTGCTGCATTTTAGTTGCGTCCATAAATAACGTCATGACTTTTTCTGTTTACACAAGCAGCCAAAATATATTTTTTGAACTGACAATATTTGCCGAATGACAGCGTGTAGTGCGAGACAATCAGTCTAATTAAATTCCAGCAAAGTCACAGTTCAGTGGATTTTCTCGGAATTTTAGGTGTGTTTTGTTGAGAAAATCCAAATCTGGATTCTTGTTTTTATTTTAAGGCTGCCAATTCATTATTAAAACAAAAAAGGCCCACTTTGTGTAAAATTAAAAAACAAGAAAAAACTTGCTTTGAGAAAAGCTAGCAGACCTGGCGCCATTATCGAGTTGCGTGTGTTTTTATTTTTTATCGGATGCTAATGGCGCCAGGTCTGGAAGAGTTTGTCAGCTTGATGAGCTTTGAAGAGAATTTACTCCATCGAATGTCTACAGACTTCAGATTACAGTGGCAGTTTAATTGAGCAATCGCAACATTCATGACATTCACAAAAATAACTGTGTTGTGATTTCTATAAATTTATAGTATTTTTCATCGTCGACGGGGTAAAATGTAAACATCAAAGGAATGAACCCATTTGAGTGCAGAGGTTATTTTTCCTTTATTATTTCGCCCATGTTTGAATGAAATTTTACTCTGAAGCAGTCATTTGCAATCACAAGATTAGATCACATGACTGTGTTTGGAATTCTCGTCCACAAAATTTTGATGTAAGTTGTAATTGCAACTTCTGGTGGTCAGGTGTAAAAACTGGTCATTTCTGTTACATTGTTTAATTTGAGGTTGAAGTTAAAACGAAAATCACATTCAGGAATCAAAATATACAAAGAATCAGTTTATATCTATGCTTGGCATCATTACTTGTATTTTGCATAATTAAATAAATCTAATTATTCTTTATAAACAATTTAATTTCGGGCTAGCTCCTCAGACCTTCGGGCTAGTAATCTCAAGTAACAGCTTGCCCCAAGGGCAACCTTATCTTTTCATTTTCGTCTCACCCTGCAATTAGAAGGTGAATGTTGGTGAAGGGGTGGATTGCAATTCATATTTTAAAGGGATATCAGGCAATAAGGTACCATTGATAACCATAAACTTTCATGGAAGAGTATTTCTTCTCTTTATGCAAAACAATGTCCTGCCATGGAACTCCTTTCAGGTTCAAATTTTTTTTTTCTAATTTATTTGTACTTTGTCTCCTCTGCAAATTTTTGACCAGTAGGTAAACAAAATTACTTCAGAATAAATAAGATTATTCTTTAATTCTTTAAAAATTTTACCTGTCCCCTCTTAACCTGTAGGTGAACAACATTGGTATAATTAGACTAATCGATATTATCTTATTTCTATATATTTTTTCCTACCTTCTTTACTTCTGTATTGGTGAAAATTAAATACACGTGGAAATTTGTAAGTCAGGGCTTGACACCAATGGTAGCCAACTAGCCACAGACTATTAGAAACTCAGTTTTGGCCAGTGGTTTTCGAATTCCGTCAGCTAGTTTGGCTAGTAAATGAACTGAAATTGTCGTAACATCTAAGTTGCGACTTGCCACTTGGCTAGTAAGTTGAAAAGTTAGTGTCAAGCCTTGTAAGTTACAACTTTTTGTATTACCACTGCAGGCTTTCAACAAAGGGGATCCTTAAGATCTTTATTTTCCTGTGAAGGGAAAAGGGACAGGGTCAGGTGTTGTATTTTTTGAGAAAATCCCATTGTACTATTGCTATAACTGTATGCTAGCATAGTTTATCTGCCATCCCTTTATTTTCCATTCTCTCAAAAGGTCACTTACTCATACCATAACAAAGTAAATATTTTGCTGTGATAATACATAGCCTCTGTAACTACAAAACCTATGCATGTAGTGGACATAGCAATTTTTACTTGAGTCATATTACATGCAGACTGCATGTAATTTAAGGTGCATGTAATAGTTTGTGTAAAATTTTATGCATGCATAATTTGCATGTAAATCCACCATGCATTTTACACATTCTATTCCTGCACCCTGTTCTGTAATTATGGAATAGAGGAGCATGCAGCTGCAGCTTTGGAATGGCCTCTACCTTTTTCATGTAGTGAATTAGAAAGCAAGTACATGAACCTCGTACAGTCCATCGTATCATTTCCCAGATTTAGAACAGGATATTGGTCAAGTCACCAGCAGTGCAGGTGAATTCATTAATCAAGGGTGTGGATTTTGGAATCCAGGTTAATGCTTGTGGTCTCCATTTAATGCTGAAATATGGTGAGACCCAAGTTGAGGTTGACATTTCAGAAAGCAACACCCAAGCTGAAGAAATATTTATATGTGAAATCATAGCTAACACTGAAGAAGAGACTGAAGCTGCTACCTCCCCATAAGTCTCTCCAAGAAAAGATATCATTTACTTTGCCACAAAACAAGAAGATTCAGATGATTCAAACATGTCAGAATCAGACAATGAAGACCAAAGGGAAGACGTAGACCATGTTTTTTTCAATATGATTTGTTAATGTTTGTTTCACAATCAAATGTTGCTTTCTTAATTTAATCAATATTTGTTTCTCATTGATATTCATATTCTTGATTATCCAGACTATTTTTTGTAGTCCCAACGAGTCCAGTGGGCATAATTTAATATCTGCAGAGGAACGACATTCGTTCGGTGCTTGGATGCTTCAACTTCTTTCTTTGCCTGCATTAGCCAAATTCCACTTTCTTCCATCACTTTGTCACATTTCCCCTCACAGTTGCTCAGTAAATGTTTGCATTTGTAACACAGTGATCTTTGTTTACAGGGTTTTCTCCTACTAACATCTGATGACAAACCTTTGCGTTTCCTGTCTCAAACGAAAATACCTCAAATGTACTCTATATGACTGCAAGGTCTTTTTCACTGATTGAAATTCAAAATATGGGGCAATGAATTCCACAAGTTTTCTTTTGTTAGAAAAGCACAGGATTATCTTTGTCAGCTTCTGATTAATTCAGCAGACAATGCTTGCATAATTAAATTTAATTAAATCATGGCTCTTGTTTTACATCAGATCATAAACAATCAATTGAAAGCAATTCATATTATTAGGTTTGTGCATGAACTCAATGATATATAAAGCAACGATGCTTAGTATAAACAGTTTCAAAGCCTTTCTATCAGGTTATGCATGGTTACCACTCCAATATGGCTTCACGCTCAGCTGAGTTTGGGACAACTAGCTACTACAGTGTCTACATCTTAGCGAGTGGATGAGTGACTCAAAGTTGTTCTTTCTGTGAGTTCTTTTTAAGTTTTGAATCCTCATGCCTGGGTTAGTTTGGAACAACTAGCTACTACAGTGTTTACATCGTAGTAAGTGGGCGAGTGACTCATTTGCATCCTGGAGTTAAAAAGGCGTTAAATTCATTTGCTATGACTTTGTTGTTCTTTCTATAGGTTCCTTTTTCTATGGCTTAAAACAGTGTTACACAGATTGGACCAAATTGTAGATGAAGTAGCACACTGTAAAACCTTGTGGAGGTTTCCGATGACCACCAGCCTAAAGATACCCCAGAGTTTATTATGAACCAGTGAAAACATGCAGGCTGATGCTCTATACAATTGCTAAATGATGAGTGTTTTTTTTACAGGATTTCAAATTGTAATAACTTTGTTACAGTAAGAGTTTTATAACATTGCCGTAAATAATTAAAATCATTTCTTTATAGGAGACATGACGTCTGTCACCCCATCAACTCTTTCTGCCAAAGAAACCTCTAATTATGCTCGGCTGTGTCGCCTTTTTGTTGAGGTAGGATCTGAAGTGTTGAGGGATATATTTGATAGACTATGTCTACCAGAAGACCTTCCCACAGTTCTGGCTCATCCTCAGAACCAAGCAAAATTACAAACACTTCGAAAGAAAAGAGTACTAAGTATCTCCCAGTGGCGCAGACTTTACCCTGCTGTCAAATCATCAGTTTCCTTAAGGGACTGTGACAGCTCCCTACTGCTGCTACTTTTGAAGAATATTGCTGGTCTGACTCTCCCTGTCTCTGGCTGGAGTAACATTCCTCTAGGATCAGACACCTCTGCAGAAGCTGAAATTACTCGCATCAAGATCCTCAGGGACAGAGTTTACAGTCATGTTACTCAGGGTTCAGTTGATGATTCAGAATTCAGTATATACTGGAGCAATATCAAAGAAACTTTTCTGCGTGTTGGAGGGCCCCTCTATGAGGATGCCATCAATGATCTTAAAAATTGTTGTATGGATGCAGATTTTGAGGAACATTACCAAGAACTTTTCAGAGAGTGGTTAAAGGATGATGACTACATCACAGACAAATCATATGAAGGTGAAACAGTGAAAAAGGCCACTAAGGAAGAGGTCATGAAAGGTTCCATTGGCATTTCTGGACAAAAAATTGGGATGGAAGGTGTGTGTAATTTTTTGTCAATGCTAAATCTTAAACTCGCTCTTTAGTGTGAAGGGTGTTTGACAGTAGGCCACTTCAGAGTTCTCATGGTTAAGTGATCTGGTGCCAAAATTACAGAGTGAGAATGAGGCTTTGTGTAAAGTAGCTTTCATCAGTATAAAGAGTAAAGGGCTGTGGTAATGAAAATGAGCAAAAATATGTTGAAACTCAACTGTCCCACCCAGCCAAGATGGCTAAGAAAAGAATTTGGGGTTAGGGGCACAGAGTGTTCCTAACTGAACTGAATTTATTTTAGGTTTCATTAGCAAACCTCCATGTTATAATTTTAGGTTTGTTTAGAGCTTTACTTAACAAACCTCCTTGTTTAAATTTTAAGCTTAGTTAGAGATGAATAGTGAATGATTATCTTCCTCTTTAAAATCTCAAACTATGGTAAGTGGGTTTAATTTCTTTTATATGTGTGTGTTCTTGATGTTAGTGGGGATATAAATCATATCATGGTTTTTGAAGCTTGCTTCTTTGTTAACTTTGAGAGAAATTTCTCCAAATTTTTGCTTCAGGAATTAACAATTGATTTATCACGCAGACCAGTGTAGTCAGACTTGTGTTGTTATTGAACTGTATTTAGGAAGAGATGCCACAAACCTCATTGGTTTTTACTCATCTTATATTCAGCACATCCTAGTGAAATGACTTGGTGCAAGTATTAGATATATATATCTTCTTAACCAAGCGCGAGGGCTGCACTGGGAGAACATCGGCCCGAGGCCTTGACAGTACGGACCAAGTGCAACGAGGTCCATACAAAAAAGACAGAGGGTTAATATTCTTCCAGTACAGTTCCGAGCAAGCTTGGTTAATAAGAGATTTATTACACGACTGAAGTTCAAAGGGACACAAGTGCGGTATCATTCGGGACCATTCAGGACAGTGCCCGGTCCAATACTGAGAGAATATTGACCGGCAATAGAGCATTTTGACTGGTTGATTTTAGTTATTGGCCCTCTGACTTCCCAAGTCGTGTAATAAATATTAATATTAGGTATATGTTTTTATGAGGTATATATTTATATTTGGTATATTTATACAAATGATAGAAAATATTTTTCTTTTTAGAAATGGCACAAATGCCAGTGGAAAAAAGGTCAGCAGAGAATTTCAAAGCCAACCCACCAGAGCTCAGTGTGAAACTTCCAATTTCTAGTGATCTTCCAAACTGTTCTTGTCCTTGGAACAATATTGCACTCCCTGTTGATATTCTATTGCTAACAGAGGAGGACTGCGAGTTCTTAAGCTGCTTTGCCTACCTGAAAGAACCCGTTAAGAGTTACTACAAAAGTATTGGCTATGTGTACTTTGGGTGCATGGGAGAGGGTGAAGGAGAGCAAATAAAAACTGCTTTAATGAAGTGCCCTAAAGGTCTTGCTGGTCCCAGGGGCTCTTTGTCTGTTTTTAAAGATGCTATCTTGCTACTGAGGCCCAAGGCTGTTTTTTCTGTGGGTGCATGCAGTGTTGTGAACAGCAGAAAGGTCAAGCTAGGAGATGTGGTTGTTTCTTCAAAGCTGATAACATCTGCTCACAAAACTCCCTCCAGCAGAGAAATTAATACCCTGATCAAACATGTGGCTGATGGGTGGAAGGCACCTTTGCAAAATGCTGATGAATATCATACCAAAGTGCACTGTCATGAAATGGTTCTTAGTATCTCGGAAGTAAACAAGGACATAATTGGCCAACATCCTGAGGCAATTGCAGTTGAAATGGAAGGTGCAGGTGAGAATCATAATCAATTCATAGGCTAAGGATATTTCAGCAGTGTGTTAAATGTCTCTAAATTTTCTCACGTGTAGCAAGTGATGACAAATAACACACCATGTTGTGTGAAGACTTTGCAGGAATTACTTGTACTGGTATGATATACCTAATCATATATATATACGATTTAGTTTGTGTTGAAGTGATTTTTTTTGTGTCAAGTTGCCCCAAGAATAACATTTTGTGGGTGAAGGTGACCAAGATGCAGGGTTTGACATCTCTGCTAGCCCGAGGCTAATAAAAATTTGGTTAGGCTAGTAAAAAACCACGTTTAGTAGCCTGCTGGCTAGTAGAAAAAATTGAAAGAAAATATATATAATTAGTTTACTTGAAGCTTCAAATTTGATTAAAAAAATCAAGAAGGTTTAAATTGTAATGATAATAACAATAAAGAAGGCATAAATCTTTCATCCTCTGGCGCCTTTTTTTTGTCTCGTGTGTCGATTGTGAACATTGCTAGATCCCAGACTCTGCTTAATGGTCAATGTCTTCCCCAGTCTTTTCCCTACCAATGTTTCACCGCTTTGCACATCGCCTGACACGATCGCCTTGCACTTGAAATTTACTAAGCTTTTTCCTTATATAACAAATTATGTTATCACAAAGAAAGATAAAATGCCATTCTTTATCATTTGAAAAGACTTTTCCAATAAGTTAAGAGGAAGGTTTGCGTGTTTGGGGTTGAAATAGACCTCAAGGGAAATTGATCCGGGCTACCAAGTTGTGTTTCGGGCTGGTAAATTTTAGAAATCACTAGCCCGGTGGCTAGTAATGCAGGTAGCCAAGTGTCGAACCCTGAAGATGCCTTATGGGAACCCTAAAACGAAAATACAAAACAAACCTTGAAATAACACCAACAAATTAAGTCACTTTATTCTTATCATTTTGAATCTGTTATTGAATTGAGTGACTTTGCAGTTGTGTAGACATGAATTGTCTAAAGTCTTTCTTGTGAAAAGTGTGGTTTCTGGTCACAGAAATTAGTGTCGCGTACATGTAGTGACTGACCTTGTCTGATGTGATTGTTTTCAGATTCCCTGAGAGCTAATCTTAATGAATTCTTATCTGGAATAATTGCATTGACTAGGCAAAGAAAGTATCTGTGTAAACTGTCTTGTGTGTAACTATAGTAATTTTTTATATTTTTTCAGGATTTCACTTGTTGGATTTTAAGACCAAATGGGCATATGTCAAAGGCATCAAAGACTTTGTAGGTGACAGGCATTCTTCAAGTGAGAAGTGGACAGAAATTGCTTGTGTAATGGCCGCATCTGTTGTGGCTAACATTTTGAGTGATCCAGCCAAATTTCAAGATTGGCCCCACTTTAATGCAGGTATTGTTTTGTGTCTTATCTTTCTTTTCTTCTTCCAGGAACAGATCTGATTTTAATCTGCCTTTTCTTACACTTATCGCAATTCATGATATCTTATATCATTGGATAAGCGCCCAGGCTCTAATAAGCACCTCTTGAGTAAGGTTCCTCCTTTCTCTCTTACTTTACAAATCTTTGGGATACAAGGAAAAGCTGTTGCTATTGCCACTTTATTTCTAACTTTTTAAGTACCAACGAAAGCAGAATCAGTTCAGAAGAAAATTTTCTTCCAGCTATCTCTATTTTCTTATGCTTGCAGAGTTCCTTTTTGTGTCTTAACTGTTCTTTTAATTTTTGTCCCATCTCTACGCTAACTTCATGAGGGCTCCCCTTGATTAACTAACTTCCTTCCAATCATTGCCCCTTCATTTTGCGAAATTTAAAATGAGCGCTGGCCGGTTATTCAAGGAAATGTAGTGTATGGTATTCTTTATGCTAAAATCAGGTGTACCGAAACTGTGCGGTACACTCTTCACTCACTTGCGCATCCACTCGAGAAATAATCTCTACTCTTTTAATGTCGTCCTCGTTTCTTACACTTAACCCTCAGTAAAAACTACGCTCTTCTCCAATTACAGCTGTCAATCATACCGAAAGTTAAGAGTCACACCATTTCCGGTCACGCTCCCCTAAAAATTAACTCTGTAAATTTTTACTCTCAGATATGTGTCCAGTTCTCAGAACTCTAAGTCCAGTCAAGTGTTAAATTCACGGTCAGCAATGAGCTTGACTTTCACTCTCGCATCATTTGCTGCCCTTCTATTTAGTACCCTTCTGATAAGTTCTTACGTTTCAACCTTGTTCCCCTCTGCCGGTTCCTTGCAACAACTTCTTATTTCGAGGGGGCACGCAAGCTGAAGTGGGCGTCGGATCTTGTTTCCGTTGAGCAGTAGGACAACTCCATCTCCTCCTTTGACTGGTTGAACCACCTTTCCTTTCTTCCACTCTCCTCTGTTCCTGTTCTCACCTACTACTAAGACTATCTCTCCTACCTCGGGTACTTGTTGCTTGTCCTTCCTGTTCACTCAGTGTGCGTCCATCAAGCTGTAGACATACTCTTTCCGCCAACGACGCCATACGTGTTCTCTGGCGTTCTTTAGACGTCTGTGTAGCTTGGTAACTTCCTCCTCGTCGATTTTTCCGTTAAGTCATAAGTGTCTTGGCCCCACATGAGTATAAAGGCTGATAGTTTCTAAAGAAATTGTTTGGGGCTGCGTCGGAGGGGGTAACGAAATAAGTTGAATATATCAACAAAGTTGAAATGGTAAATTGGCCACCGTTACGATTATAAAAGCTGATGTCTCGAGCTCCGACAAAGGGCTAACGCTCGAAACGCCCACATGAGTATGTTTGGCGTCAAGGTTTGTGGTTTGCCCTCATCACGCTCAGCGTACGTTAAGGGTCGGTTGTTGAGGTGCTTCTCGATGTCCATGACCACCGCTTCAAGTTGTTCAAAGGTGAGCTGTGTATTTCCCAGCGTTTGTATGCTGTTTTCTTGATTTCCTTAATAAGCGTTCCTACATGCCTCCCCACTAGGGAGATTTGGAGAGGTTAAAACTGCCATGTAATCTCTTGCTGCGCGGGGAAATCTAGCAATCTCTCACTCTTGCGAATCCTCTTGATCCATGTTGCCGTTGCCTTGAATGTTGCAGTGTTGTCTGAAACAATTCGCTCAGGTCTTGTTCGTCTTGATATGAAGGCATTTAGCTTCCTTTGGAATTCCTCGGCAGTTTGGGTTCTGGTCAATTCCAGGTGTACCGCACTTGATGTAGCACATGTGAAAATCAGTATATATGCCTTCTCCTCCCTTGTCTTACTCTCTTTGTACTTCAGCGGCCCTGTGAAATCCACACCTAGGTACTGGAAAGGCCGACTGACCCTAGTGCGACACTCTGGAAGGGTGGAAGGGATTGGCGCTCCATATAGACCACTTTCATAAATGGCTGCCGGATTAATATTCTTTTGTTTAAATTTAAATTTGCCCGAGTGGCCTCGCTTGAGATAATGTATTCTTTTGAATTTTGTACTGGAGAACAAGGCCACCCACCCAAACAAAAGAATTTTAATCCGGCAGCCATTTATGAAAGTTGTCTATGGCCTGGTAGCGAACACCTTGCATACATTGCGGTTACGTATCTCCTTCTTTACCAGGGTGTGAAGTCGAGGTATCCACCATTCTTCTCTCAAGGTTGCCACCGTGTTTCCCACACCCAAATGTTGTATTTGAGTGTGAACGGTGCTGGATAAGCTTCCGAGTAAAGGGTGTATCCTCTAAATAGACTGGGTTGTATCCCTGGATTCTTCCAGTGCATTTAAGGAGGTTCCTTTCTTTGTCTCTAACTACGTTCCATCTGAGCCTTTCCATGTCATCAGGTATTCCTTTCTGTGCTTTCCTCACCCAATGTTGTTTAGCTTCCGTAAGTTCTTCGGTACCCAGTGGGCCTGACACCTTCTTCCTCTTCTTTGGCAAGGCTGTTGGTTTTGAATCTCAGGACCCATGCAGTAATCCGTAGTAATCTCCAATACGTGTTTCGCGAGAGTAGTTGGTCCCACTGATCTGTCTCTTGATCTTCTGTATTGCCATTTCCTAGTTTCTTGGTCTTGGTTGGCATTCCCCCTCTCGTGTAAGCTACAATCCTGTTATTGGGGCTATCTTCCGCACTCTGTTTTCGACAAACACCTTCCAGGACTTGCCAGGATTTTAAATCCAGTAGAAGGCCACCATGGTATCCATCCACACTGTGATGCTCCCCAGTGGCCATCCTCGGAGAGCATTGTGGAGATTCTTCGCCAGGTTTGCTGCCATTTGACCACTGATTAACTCTAATCTTGCTATGCTAGTGTCTCTCTTGGAGATCCTTGATTTCGTTGTCAGAAGGCCCTTAACCATGCCTGAACTGTGTTCTTAGACTGCTACGGCGGCAGCGCAGCAAGCTAGATTGCTTGTATTGGCGAATATATGGGGGTGTACTGTTACGGTCTTCGTCACAATGTTCCTAGGCACAATCACACTTTTCAACTGCTTCATCCACTTGGTCCACTGTTTCCTTAAGGGATCTGAAATTTTTGTTTTCCATCCCTTCTTTTCGTCACACGGCTCTCTATAGATCCGTTTTCCCTCCACAGTAGTCGGTGACAATATGCCAAGGGGGTCGTAAATGCTGCCCAGGTGGCTGAAAATAGGTTTCTTGATGACTTGCTCTTCTTCAGCGTGTCGTCGAATAGTTAATTCCAGGGTGTCGTTTGTTTGTCCCAACCGAGTCCAAGTATCTCGCTTGTATTGGTCATCCCGTCACTCTCTAGTTCTAGAAGATTGGAGTCCCATCAAAGCCCGCTTAACTCTGTGCTAAAAACATTTCGTACACCGCGCTTTCGAAAACAGTAGATTCGCCACAATAAACGATGAAAACTTCCAGATGAAAAAATGAGGCATTATTTCGGGAAAACGCGACTTAGTTTTAGAATTTTCGTGCCTTTTCTCAGAGATTATAGTGTCACATATTAATTTTGTTAAATCATACGGAACGAAACTTCAGATTCGAGCATGCGAGCGTAAACAAGCGACCGTATTTTGGGTCAGCGCTATCTTCGATATGCGTTTTTGTGCGTTCAAAATCCCGTGAAAAACGTAAAGAGATCGAAAATGAAGAGAAGACTATCAATGGTCTGCAAAAGAAGCTGAAGCTAATGTAAAAGTGGATTTGGTCTGTTTGATAATTAATTTAATTCAAGGTCAGTGAAAAATGTTTTGAGGTCAGGGAAAAGTCAGGGAATTTTTTGGGTGCTAATGAGTGGCAACCCTGAAAAAGTGAATTCACCCCACAGCGCACCGCGAATATTATTTTCCGCGTGAAAAGCCATTTGAAATTCTCAACATTGCGAGCGATGGCGACCGGTAAAAGAATGCGCCCGGTTGAGGAACATTTTTATGCTTGACCCGATTAATTTCCGCCTGCGAAAAGGTCAGGAGGTGAGTTCAAATACTTTCGATGAAACCTTTCCTTTTTTGCATAGAAAGTAAATTGAATTAAGGATTGTTATCGCTTTGGTCGTGCTTTCAAATGGTTGCCTAGACGTAATCGATTAGTTTCTGGCCGGCGCGTGATTCTCTTTCTCGGTAATGTACAACTGATTGTTTTATTTTATTAACTTCGCCGACAGGCAGGGACACTGCAACAGCTTGCGCCAATTACAGCGGGCCCAGTAAACCCACCCATCCCACCCCAGGGGAGGACATCCATCACACAGTAATCTCGTGCGTGGGAAATTAACGTCTCCTACCCCTAACCCTGCAGGAGACGGGACCTCTATTTATTCGTCCCTATCCGAGAAGACTAGAATATCTAACCATTTCTTGATGTTGTAGAAAGGCAGCATATTCTTCTCAATTATTTTAAGTCCTTGAGTGTTGGTCCGGCCGGGGCTCGAACCCTCGACCTCCCGCGCAACAGTCCAGCGCTCTATCGATTGAGCTAACCGGGAGGCGGTTAACTCAATTAGTAGTTGACTCGAACACTTTTGTATACTGAGACATCAAGGATGTTTGAATTTTGGACTGCTCAATTACTCCTCGTTACCACAAACCTCACACAATCTACAACTCTAGTTCATAGGAATGTAACTGAAGGGTTGTGTAAATGACTTTTATTGTTCACGAACTAATTGCTTAATCAGGATAGGGGGTACGATGATAGTTTACAATTTCCAAGGAATTCGTTCCCTTTTGATTTTGAAATACGTGTATGATTTCAGACCATATTGCACTCCATTCAGTTCAATTCACATTATAAATACGAGTAGTGATCCAAAATGGATGAAGAAAAGCCGACTCTGTGACATAATATGGGAGCAATATCTGAGCCGTAGCGTGAAACGTGGATGAAACACGAAAATATTCATTTACTATTTGAATTGTGGTTATTTTGACCCGCAGACGATGTAAATCAGATGAAAAGTAAAGTGGGCGATATTAGTGACAAACTGGAGACAGTGATGGCACGACAAGGTCAGCTCTTGATTAAAAAAAAGTTGTTAATTGTTTGGAAAAAAACCCATAAAATAAAAAATTTTGGTGAATATTACGATTGATGAAATTTTGGCAACAGCAGTTAAATACTTGAACAAAACTTTGGGGACTCACTTTTTCTCGGGTGTTACTTAGCAATTCCATTTATCATCAGTTGTCCTTTCCCTCCCCTGCCCCCATCTAAGACAGTGCTGGGCGTCCTTAATCGACAAAATTTCAAAGATCTTGAACAAGGTATGGAGTTCACATTTTACAGTTCACACAAAGATTGCCGCTGAGCTGCTAAATTGGCACATGTTGCGAAAATTTCAGAAATATTTCTACACGGAACAATTAAAATCTCGATATAAAATAACATTAGCTCACATAGGAGACGTGTTCTGACAAGGCAAAAATTTCATTGCAACCCTCTGGTGATTTCTAACGTTAGGTGCTCTAAAACAGCAGGAAATAAACTTATTTTCTTTTATTCCTTTTCTTTAAGCCAAGAAAGGTAATTTGCTTCAAATAGGCTGATTCATTGTGTTATGTTTTATGGTATGGAGGCAAACCTATTTAAAACTTAAATGATGTTATGATTCCAGACAAAATCACAAGTGATCTTAGTGAGATGAAAAGTCTGGTAGGAAACCTCGGTGTCACATTGATGGAACAACAAGGAGAAACAAAAAGTGAAGGTCAGTTTTTGGCAAAAATAGACTTCACTTGCTTGCAGTATTTATATCAGCCATTTTGAAATTATTTGTGATCCTTTCAATGTGATTGGCTCTCACCGATGCTATTTTTCCACACCATTTTGCACTGTTTTATGCTCTAGATCGCAACCCCATCAAAGAGACAGCTTTACTAAAACGCAATTGCAACAGCAACAACTTATCAAATTTCAAGGCTTGTTTAAAAAAAAATCAATCAAACCGAAGAAAAATTACACAACTTTTTCAACTTTCTAGAAACCAACTTATAAACTAGATCAAAAAAATATTTTATTGTATTGCATTTCTCTTATTAAGTGTTATTTTCCACGGTGACTAACCACAACCTATTTTATTTGATGCTGTTTAACTCAAATCTGGGCAGACGTACTCGATAGTTTAACTAAGCACCTTACTCGATTTTTTATTTTTGTTTTAGATTGGTTTGATCCCGCTGAAATGATTGCTTACATTCGCCAACTCTACAAAACCCGCGAGGGTACGTTGAACCTCTTTCCCTGGTGTGAACACTTGAACTTTTCTCTTGGAGACCTCTTCACCAGACTTAAAGTCACCTACAAAGAGAAAACGAGAGGAACAGCTGCGGACCGAGTTGTCGCGATATCTGAAATCTTCAACATGCACGAAGAATGTGAAGAACCAAGAGTTGTGTTAATCGAAGGGAAGCCTGGTATGGGAAAGACAATTTTCTGCCAAAAAGTTGCTTTGGACTGGGCAACTCAAAAACCCGCAACCGGAAATTACTTCGCAAAATTCCTCATAGCACTTTTGATTAAATGTCGTGAAGTTCAGTCTGATCTTTGGGAAGCCATTGATGATCAACTTCTACCTAGAGATATCGATGATGACCAAAGAAAGAGATTCTTCGACTTCATTTGCCACAATCAATCTAAAGTTCTCCTGGTACTCGATGGATTGAGTGAAGTATCTGAGAGGAAATTACCCATGTTCTCAGAAATTATTCAAGGCCAAGTGCTGCCAATATGTCGCGTGGTTGTTACGACACGGCACGAAGCTGGAATCAAAGTTCGAAAATACAGCGACACGCTGCTAGAGGTCGAGGGATTTACTAAAGAAGATGCGGTAACCTTCATCAAAAATTACTTTAGAGCAAACCCAAACTTGGCCGCGCAGCTTATCGAACGACTGTCTCATGAGAAATCCTGGTACGAAATGTCGACAAATCCTCTCTACATTACTCTTCTTTGCATGGTTTTCGAAGATTTTGGCGGCGTATTTCCTGAAAGAAGGAGCACGCTGTACAAGGACATAGTAGAGTGTATCCTAAGAAGTTACAGAACAAAACAGCAACTACCAGAAATTGAAGAAGGCCTAGTTGAACTTTACGAAAGCGAATTGAAACACCTTGGCTCTATAGCTTTGAAAGGTTTACTTGAAGGCAACTTGGATTTTGACGAAAAGGAGCTTAGAAAACACAAACTAAGCGAATTGCCTGGATTTGGATTTCTCTCAGTCCAACCTGGAGGAAGTAAAGTTAAACCGACTAGACGTTATGGCTTTCTTCACGAAACGTTCCAAGAATTCTTCGCAGCATATTATCTCAGTTGTCAGCTCATCAAGAAAGAAATAACCACGCACAGCATAGCTGCTGACAGACGATATCGCAATGAGCTGAAAGAAGTGCTTCTGTTTACATTTGGCATTCTAGCAGCACGGTGCCAGGAAACAGCAGAGAACCTTGTAAAAAGCATGGCAACACAGGTAAACCAGGAGGAGGGAGAGAAGGAAGTCAGCCACAGCATGAGAATTCTATTAGAATGCATTTATGAATGCGAAAATGACAACAATTTCCATGCAGAATTGGCCCGCGCTCTTGGCACTTGTCTTCAAATTGAAGCTATTGATATTTCGACGATTGGATTACATCGAGCTGAGGCTATCTTACTATCCAACGTTCTTGAAACAAATAAAAGTGTGAGAATATTGCATTTAGTGGATGGGATCATTGACGAAGCTGCTGCTGCTGCACTTGCTAAGTGTTTGAAAGAGAATACGTTTCCGACAGAACTGGATTTGTTTTTTAATCACATTTGTGATGCTGGTGCTGCTGCTCTGGCTGAATGTTTGAAAACAAATACATCTCTGACAAAGTTGAATTTGGGTGAAAATTTCATTGGCGAAGATGGTGCTGCTGCTCTAGTTGAGTGTTTGAAAGAGAATACATCTCTGACAGAGTTGAATTTGGGTGGTAATAACATTGGCGATGCTGGTGCTGTTACTCTGGCTAAATGTTTGAAATATAACACATCTCTGACAGAGGTGAATTTAGGTGGTAATAACATTGGCGATGGTGGTGCTGTTACTCTGGCTAAATGTTTGAAATATAACATATCTCTGACAGAGGTGAATTTGGGCGGTAATAACATTGGCGATGCTGGCGCTGTTGCTCTGGCTGAGTGTTTGAAAGAAAATACATCTCTGACAGAGTTAAATTTGAGTGACAATAACATTCGCGATGTTGGTGCTACTGTTCTGGCCTATTGTTTGAATTATAATTCATCGCTGACAGAGTTGAATTTGGGTGGTAATAACATTAGCGATGGTGGTGCTGTTGCTCTGGCTGAGGGTTTGACATATAATACATCTCTGACAGAGTTGAATTTGGATGGTTGTAACATTGGCGATGCTGGTGCTGCTGCTCTGGCTGAGGGTTTGAGATGTAATACATCTCTGACAGAGTTGAATTTGGATGGTAGTAACATTGGCGATGCTGGTGCTGCTGCTCTGGCTGAGGGTTTGAGATGTAATACATCTCTGACAGAGTTGAATTTGGATGGTAGTAACATTGGCGATGCTGGTGCTGCTGCTCTGGCTGAGGGTTTGAGATGTAATACATCTCTGACAGAGTTGAATTTGGATGGTAGTAACATTGGCGATGCTGGTGCTGCTGCTCTGGCTGAGGGTTTGAGATGTAATACATCTCTGACAAAGTTGAATTTGGATGGTAGTAACATTGGCGATGCTGTTGCTCTGCTGAGGGTTTGAGATGTAATACATCTCTGACAGAGTTGAATTTGGATGGTAGTAACATTGGCGATGCTGGTGCTGCTGCTCTGGCTGAGGGTTTGAGATGTAATACATCTCTGACAAAGTTGAATTTGGATGGTAGTAACATTGGCGATGCTGGTGCTGCTGCTCTGGCTGAGGGTTTGAGATGTAATACATCTCTGACAAAGTTGAATTTGGATGGTAGTAACATTGGCGATGCTGTTGCTCTGCTGAGGGTTTGAGATGTAATACATCTCTGACAGAGTTAAATTTGGATGGTAGTAACATTAGCGATGCTGGTGCTGTTTCTCTGGCTCAGGGTTTGAAATGTAATACATCTCTGAAAAAGTTGAATTTGGATGGTAGTAACATTAGCGATGCTGGTGCTGTTGCTCTGGCTGAGTGTTTGAAATGTGATACATCTCTGACAGAGTGGAATTTGGATGGTACTAGCATTGGCGATGCTGGTGCTGTTGCTCCAGCTGAGTTTTTTCCAAGAAAATTTACACCCCGTCTTATGACCAACTTATAAAAGCGACAATGTAGCGAACAAGCAGAGATTTACGATTCTGAACCTGACCAGGATACATGTGCGGTAGTCTCTATTGATCGATATCATTATCATGCAAGACTTACGTAGCATCTGTTTACTAAGATTATTTACATTTGCAGAACTTTAACTGATGTAAATAAATTTATTTACAGCAGAATTTCCATTTTTCTCGGTTTTTTTATGTTTAGCTTTACCTTTTTTTTTTTTTTTTGCAATCTTCCAGTAAATCCGTTTAAATACGATGCTCCTTAGCCTGGGTCTACTGTTTCCTTACTTCATGTCAATTTTTTTACTTAAGATCTTTTGAAAACTTGTGGCTACTACCTCCTAAGGAGGCGAAGCTATGTTGTTTTGTTGAGCGAGTATATCAACAGAATACGAACAAACTCTTAGCCCTCTACGAAGTCTGCCGAGTTTTACCCCGTATTCCTCGCTCTTAGCTTTTGTCTGTTTCGGAACATATTCGGTCGTTCAACGCTTGGTGACGATTTTTTCGGATCGCTTCGAATGTTACTCGGAATTAGCACGTGTTCACACTGTTTTCCGGTGCTCTTTATCGTTTATTACGGAAAACTACAGAGGGCGATAAACAACTCACAATCATTTCAGGGTGGTGCGCGAAGAAACAAAGTTTTACGAAATGTATTAAAAGGTGTGATCGCCGCATCATGAAAAATTATAGGAATTTTTTTTCTTGAAAGAGAGAGCTTTTTACCGTCTGAATCTGAATTATGCTCAGTAGATCCGAAGATGTTATGTTTTTAACTGTTCTTGCCAATAGATGATAAAAGTCTCAAAATCACGGGGGCCCTAATGTGCAAGTCAAATTAAAATCATTTCACTCAGAACAAAACGTGTGGCATTACAAAATTAGTAACCTCACGCCAGAACAAAATCAATTCACGGCAAAGTAAAGTAACTCACAGCAAAGCGAATCCAACTTACGACAAATATAATAACTCACGGAAAAAAAAATTCCAACTCACGGCAGTACAAATAAACTTATGGCGAAATAGAAAAACTTACGGAAAAACAAACATTAAAATCCATTTGAGGGTCAACGGCAGATACCGTTTATATACTGACTGCGCCTGACGATGTGCATTCTGTAATGCCACAGTAAAGTTATTTTAATTTGACTTGCGCTTACGGGCAACCGTACAAAATAATTTCACTGGGGCGTCTCCAGCACGTAATTGAAAAAAGACTTATCTTGCAGAAATAACTAAATGGGCTTGATCTGGCACATCCTGGAAATTTTGAACAAAAATTATATATTCGAAAAGAGCGCAATTTACCATTACAATCAGCGAGAAATGCCCCAAAGAGCTTTTAAATTTGCGAAGCGAGCAAGGCTCGAAATACAATTTTACGAGTGAAACAGGATGATCCTATCCGATCGAACGTTGGAATGACGGAGTGGTGGAATATCCCACCACGCGGAATGCAGTGTTGTATGAAACAAAAGTCTCACAAAAATGGAATTGCAATGAAGTAAGAAAATGACTTCTGATTGGCAGGCAAATTTTATAATTATTGGAGCCTCGAGGATAAAGCATTAGAGGAACGAGCTTCCTGAGCCTGCCCTTACAAGTTGTCAGTATTGTTATTGTTAGCATTATTGTTACCATTATTGTTCTTGGTAATATGATTATTTGTCACCACTTATGATTGCAGTGTTAACTGCCTATTTTTGCGAAAGAGAGACCCTGCAGAGCAGGCGTTTTAGTGAGGTTTGGGCGCAAATTAGACCGCGCGAAAAATGGAGCGAGGCGAAAAATTAGGAGTTGGGGGGGGAGGGGAGAGGAGAGAAGGGAACGCCTGCCAGCACTCATTGTTATTTTCATTTTTCCGCGAAGGACGAACGAACGCTTTTGATTGGCTTTTCATGTTGTCTGATTGACAGACATCAATCTCGCTACATTACACAACCATTGTAGCACTTTCAAAATGGCCGAATCCTCCGAACAAGACTTCACGAGGGCGCTAAACATTTCTTTGGATTTATTCGAGTCGTTTACTGGATTTCGATTTGATCTCAAACTTCAACAACTACAAAGTCTGAGGCAACTTGACTATGGTGGCGATTTACTCGCTGTTTTGCCGACTGGCTTTGGTAAAAGCCATATAATCTAAATGCTCGTGGCCGTGAGGAAGGAGATGCTAAAGAATAACTGTATTGTAATCGTTCTTTGTCTTTTGAAAAGTATCCTAGAGGACCAAGTATCCAAAGAGAATTCTTTGGGCCTCAAAGCAGGAGCATTAAGCCAAATTACAATGGGAGAAGCAGAGCTCTCGCAGTTCGAATTGCTGTTTGGTCTTGGCATGACCGCGCGAAGGACTTTTTAGTTTGGCAGCTTTCGATCTTCGCCAAGAAGGGCTCGCTTTATCAGGAGTTTCTAATGTTCTTTTTCCCCCTTCCTTTACATGCTTAGATGGAGTTGAAATCTGAATTGTTTTACTCTTTATAAAGCTGTAAAGTTGTCCTAAATTTCTTATGTGCACACGGGTTGCAGCATCGTTCTGAACAGTTTATGCCAATCCAGACAAGTTTCAGTCTCTAAACATCAATCCACGAAAACTCGATAAAGATAAGAGCGACAAAACGCTGACTATAAACGATCTAGCTATTGCGAACACAGAACCATTCAAACTACTCGGAGTTCATATAGACGAGAATCTCAACTTCACTGAGCATATTAGCAAATTATGTACCAAGGCGGGCCAGAAAGTTGGAGTACTTTAACGTCTTCGGAACTTAATACCCTGCAAGGCCAAGTTACTATTGTATAAATCTTTTATACTGCCATATATAACTTACTGCCTTCTAACCTGGCATTTTTGCAAATCATCGGACAGAAGAAAGTTAGAACGATTACAAGAACGAGCCCCTAAGGGTTATTTATAAATCCCACTCTGTTACAAATGAAGAACTCCGGCCTAAGGCGTGCCGATATACGCTCTTTATATAATAGACGGCTTCAGGATATCACAGTACTTATGTACAAAGTCAAACATGGTCTTGTACCCGACTGCATTTCTGAATTATTTGTTCGCAAAGGCCCTACACATTCGCTACGGAATAGTGACTTTGTATTACCACGTTTTGAAACTATTTGCTATGGCAAGCACACTGTAAGATATCTCGGGTCGTTCTTCTGTGTGGTCAAAACTCACTAAAAATCTAAGGGATTCGCCAAGTTTGTGTTTTCATAAACAAAATAACAGAACTTAGCCTAGACGAGATTGTAATTCACAACAGCAACTGCTGTAATCTTTGTAGTCAATAGCAATATCTTAGCTTTCTAAACTTTAAATTTTAATCATTTTCGTGTAGATATATAATTTTTATAAGTGTATTTTAATTATAGTGTCCTCAATTAGTGTCACCAACACTTGAATAAAGGTCTTACTTACTTACTTACTTACTTTCTTCCTTACTTACTTCGTAATCTTGAGAGCAACTTGCTAATAAATATCTGAAAGAACGATTCCAGTCGAGTCTTGTCTTTTCGATGGCTTGAATATATTTTCGAAAGATAGGAAAGAAGACTTTCCTATCCCTGGTTTTCCGAATTTTTACATACATACATACATACATACATACATACATACATACATACATACATACATACATACATACATAATTTATTTGGTAACGCAGGTTAGTTACTGGCGGCATTGAGCTGATATGGACCAGCGATAAATCTAACTTCTATTTAATTAAAGCAATAACAAAAACAGCAGAAAAATCCTAGCATAAATTAAAATATAAGTAGGGATTCAAACTGGTTTATAATCCTAGCTTAAATTTTAATACAAGGTAGTAGTTAAAATTCCTAAAACTATTACAATTTACCAAATCCTTGTTACCAACTAGAGCAGTTTGATTAAAATTTGATATTAAAAGATAGAACGGAGTTTGTTCTTAAATCTCTTATTGTCCTCTATGCTCTAAACTGACAGAGATAAGGAATACCACGCTATGGCAGACCTATGTCCAAAAGACAGTCTTCCAACAATGGAGTTTGGTCTCTCCAGAGTTAGTTTCAAATTGTCCCTCGTATTTCGTATATTTGGACTTTTCCTGATCATTGTTACAACCTGCTCAGGACATCCCAGAAAAGCTTTGTGTGTCAGAGAAAGGAGCCTCATCTTGTAGAAATAACTTATGGATTTCCAAGAAGATGGTATCAGTGATTGGGACTTAGTATCATTAGATGGTATCAGTGATTGGGACTCCATGCTGTTTGAAGTGCTCCATGCTTAGTATCATTAGATGGTATCAGTGATTGGGACTCCATGCTGTTTGAAGATAAGCTTGGCGGCAGCTGGTGAATTTTCTCTAAAACACGTAATTTTGCTTCACTACAGTTACCCCATACACTGAAATTCCATAAGTGATGCTTGGTAAAATTTCGTTAAGATATATGGACTCCAAGATATGAGAGGGAAGGCTTTTAAATCTGCGCAGTTGAGATGTAAATAAGCTTCAGTGTTCAGAGTTTGGGTTTCGCTTTGCCATCTCTTTCTACCCACAGCCACCAATAACACCATCCGCATGTGCTTAGGATAAATATAACTGCATGAAACCCCCGCTACCTAAATTACAACACGAACTGAAAAGTAAAAACAACTTGATAGCCTTCCATTGACCATCCAAGATCTAGAAACGTCGTTCTCTTAACATCATCCAACTAAAGTTCTCCTCCTTGCTCATCTCAATAGTTGAGAGCTCCACCTTCTGACTTCCTGTGAGAAGACGCTTGTCCTCGCACGACATCTCAATGAAGCTTACAGTTATTTCCGCTTCATTTAGTTATCCCACGGCCTAAGAACTTGCGCACAGTCGTCCCTCATTATTTTCTTTAATACATTGATAAGGAAATC